CACATTCTGTCTCTCACAGTTGAAGTGTACCTCTGGTGCAAATTACTGACCTCTGTCATCATTTTAGGTGGGGGAACTTGCACAATCGGTGGCTGAATAAATACTTTTTTAAGTAACTTAATTTACTTAGTAACTGTAATATGGCTATTCTATTTAGTACTGGGTTACTGGAGGAAAAAGAGTAATGTGATTATTAACTATATTTGTTATTTGTTTAATTTTTAACACGTGTTATACACAACTCTGAGGTTTTAAGAGCCAGAACTTTTAGGAGAAGCAGAACAAACAAATGCAGCCTCTAGTCTAAAACTGAGGATTTTGTGACAAAGATCAAAGATCAGTCACAAATCTGAAGCCAGAATTTTATCTTACAAACCTTTTTATGAACTCATTTTTGAGTGTGGTTACTCCTTTAGAAGTTCCATTAGTTCCTACCATCCAATCTCCTAGGCTTATCTGAGATAACCCTAGAACTTATCCCAGATCCTATCCTAGTCGAGAGAGGATGAGAATCAAGGTACACCCTGCACAGGTCACCCGTCTGTCGCAGGGCCAACACAGAGAGACCACCACATTCACACTCACATTCACATCTATGGGCAGTTAGGATCACCAGTAACCAAACCCCAGGTCGATTGGAGCAATTCAATTCAATTTTTATTTTAATAATGAGAGATCATTAGAAAGAATTGAACAGGATTTATTGATATACAGAATTCAGTCAAGCTATTACATGATTAGATCACCCATCACTGCAGAATGGAATTCCAGCAGTAATGGGAAATAGACCAGGACCCCACATAGTATAGATGCTGGTGGTGAAGATGAAGATGAAGGTTTGGATGGAGACTGAATAATATGAATGAGGCAAAGATGGGGCAGAGGTGGGTTGCATGAAGGCCTCCACAATGGAGAAGGCTTGACATCTTGGGAAAGTGGAAGTGATGTAAAGCATAGATTACCCACCAAGCACCTGGGAAGCTGACAAATGTGTGATTACAAAGCTTCAAATTCAAATTCAAATTCAAATTCAAATTCAAATTCAAATTCAAATTTTATTTGTCACGTACACAGTCATACACAGTACGATATGTAGTGAAATGCTTGGACAACTGCTCGTGACCTAAAGAAAACAAAAAAGGAAAAGGCTATGAATAAGATAGGAAATAAATATGAAAAATTAAAAAGGGTAAATTTAACTAGGAAG